TGGCCAAAAAAACACTGCGCTACAAAGGCTTCCTTCAAGGAAAAACACACCTCAAGAGAGAGAGAGCCAATATCAATGTGGAAACACGGGAGGAAATGTCAGCCAACCGTAGGCAGTGGAGAAGTGCTGTAGCCGACCGGGTCGAGTGGGTTAAAGAAAAAAAAGTGGTTGGGGGGGGGGAGTCTGGGAGGAAACCCCTATCAGCATCAACACCAGAAACGCCGCAACACAAATCTCACCGAGCAGACGAGCAACCCTTGCCCACAGTGCGGCCCAATGCTTCCGATCAAGGGCTGGGCTCCCATCCCACCAGCGTGCAGGATTATGCTACTGCGAGCTGTTGACCGTAGTCGTCATCGTTCGCGATGGGCAGCCAAAGATAATTAATGTATTACACTGCAACTTCATTCATAGAGGGCGTAGATCAAATGAAAGGTAAAGGGAGTAAGGGTACAGCCCTGTGATTACATCCTCTCGTCACTGTTGGTGGAATGGCCTTCACTCAAGGGACCTCTTTCAAGGGCATCGTTTCAGAATCAAAATACCGTGTCTATTTATACTGGAGGAATCCGATTAGCTATAAAGCTCTTTTTCACAGATGTCAAGTCGGGGCGGGTAAGAATGTTACAACAACAAACAGTATAAAACATGATAGTCGTGCCAAGTACAAGAAAGGAAAACAAATCACCCAAACACATAAAACTAAGCCATCACCATCTTACCAGGCAAAGTCCACTGAGGTATAAACTTATTTTTCATAAGCGACCTGGCCACAAATGGTAGCTCAACAAAGTGGCCCATCATTTGAACATTTTTAGCACCAAAATAATCTCAATAATCTCAATGCATGTCTAATCTGCCACACCGGGAGATTGAACCAGCGAGTTCAGTATGCTTACCATTACACCACAGCAGCATCCGCATGAATAATATGAACCTCTTGTCAACTTGTACAAACCCCCTGGGTTTCAGGTCCCTCTGATCCAGGTGTTTCCTGCTGTACGCATCACGTATGTTGCTTTTTGTCAGGAGGATATAGTCTGCATCTCTTAAGATTTGACTTGAAAACATTTTATTCTAAGATGTGTTACAATTATTACAACTAACTGCAACAACAAGCCACAACTTGCTTTTATATATTTTAAACAACTGTAGATAGTATGTAAATATACATATTTGTTCTCATTGTTTTAATTTGTTTAATGTTATGTTGAGTAGTATTGTGATGGTGCTTTGAGTTGCAGATTTGTGCCAGAATGGCGCCACGTATGTAAACAAAATAAAATTTGCTTGGCTTGGTTGATGGTGTTCGACTGAAGCAACAACTGAAATATAGTTTCCCTCACTATTTTGTTAAATAACTAATTTTGATTTTAATTGGTCCTGAATTTAACGTGCAATTTAAAAATAGGGTGAACTGAGTTTTAAAAACATTTGCCAGATGGCCTGAAAGGCCACTGCTTATTCGATAATATTTTTACGCTCTTATGTTCTTATAATAGTATGCTGCATTTTCAAAGGTGGGAACAAATTGCATGGTGGGAACAGAAAACAATCCCCTCTAAGCTGTTTTGTTTACAAGGATTAGCTACATTCTTTCATGTAAAGTCTAAGTCCTGGTATGTAATCTCTTGTGCAGCTAAATGTTTGCACGGTATTTTACAGATGGTCCTGTGTGAGCACACTTTTCCTGCAACTGTGTGGCAGGCACTTCATCTTTACGCCTGCAGAATGATTCTGTGATGAGATTAAAAGTGCACATCGCCCGCACGAGCTAATGTTTTATCCTGATGGTGCTGTTATGCAATAATGGTACAGCTTATTCTTGTGATCAGTAACTTACATGCAGATTTATTTTCTGAAATTAAATATATCTGGATTGCAAAAGATGGTTTGCGGTTGGGTTCGACACACTTAGACATTCAGCATTTGTAAGAAATAAAAAAAGCTTGGACCAGAAGAAAACTTTGTTGATTCCAAACTTACAAACATGTCAGATTAAATTAGATCTTTCTTTGCTCTTTCGAAAACGTCTTTGAAGAGGATGGCGCCTTGACAAAAAGTACATTAGCAGACCGTTAACTTTCAATCATATATGTCTTTATGTACAGGCATTGGAGAGATAATTTAAGAAACGATATTCGTTGTAAAACTAAAAGTACAATTAATTTACATTTAAGAATTATTATACATAAGAGGTAGCTGGGTAACTCAGATAGCAGTGTTGAGCTGGGACTGCTGATATCCTGCGCTTGAATCCAGGCAGCCAACTATGATTGAGTTCAGTTCACAATTGTTGCAAGTTGATGGTTTCAGCCTGGTCACCCACAACTGAACAAAACCCATTGTTTACGGTTAAAGTTTAAAAGTACATGTTTATCTTGTATTCCTAATTAATTGTTCCAACCAAAGATGCAAGAGCTGCACTGTTTTTCATAATTACCATTATATTAAATCAACTCCCAATCAAATACACAACCTATAATGAGCAAATATGAATGTAATCTGTATCAACATTCCTCATTCAATACGTTCTTGTCTACGCAGCATTTTCAATTTTACACCAGTCGAATAACCTCTTGCTATGTGCAATCTGATTAAATATTCTATGCATTGACTTTCAAAATAAAACAGGCTGTATATATTTATATACTTATACTGTAAATATATAGTATATACTTATACTGTAAACTCATTTATTCTCTGCAGCACAATCTAGCATAAGCAGCTCTACTCTGCATTCGTGTAGCACTATCCATGAAGAAGTTTTGCAGTAACAGTTGACAATTCGATTTTTTGAGTAAATTATTTTATGCAAATAGGTTTACTGTTTAATTTTGAAGGTTTTGTTTTGGTATTCAGTGTACTAAAGGGAAATATATTGTGTTAATTCAAAACTCATCTTTTGTAAACTTGATTAAAACGTCCAAGTTTTCTGAAGGCTTCGTATTGTAAAGTACAATTTCCAAAGTCAGTACATTTCTCTTTCCCCCCTCTCTCTCTGCTCTAAAAAGGTACATTGTCCGAAATGTGATTTTATTTGATTCTTTTTGAAAGGCAGTGCTAATGATGAATGTGTTGAGTTTGTTTTTACTGTTTGCACTTGTGCACCACTGCCAATGCAGTCTCCACGCTTCTTGCTTTAACCCTTAAAAATATTTTCACTCTTGTGGTTTTTGCGAGGCCTTGGTTTTACTTGCAAAATATTTTATGCCACCACGTGGTGGGTTTATGGCTTCCTGGCAAGGTTGAGTGATTGAGGGATGCAGGTAACTTCTTCATATATCTGTCCTTCCACATAAAAAATGAAAGTTTTCTTTATACATCGCATCAGCCACAAGGCCTTCTGGGAATGCATAATTTCAGCAGCATTCATTCAGTAACACGCAAGCTCCACACGGCTTTCGAAATACTGTGTCTCCTGAAAATTACTCTTGAAACTCACCGAAGCTTGCCTAAGTAAATAAGACTTTATTTATGTATTGATCAAGGGGCCACTGTGATGTCGTGGTGGTGGTGGTCAATGGAGAGTGGCAGTTTTTTTACGTGAAATGAAATGTAAGCAGAACTTAATTTTGTATCCACATACAATGATTTCGTCCATCATCCTATTGGCTTTCCAGACCAAATGAATGAAGCAGCATTTGCTGAAGTAAGCAAACTCTAGCTCAATTTCGATATTTTGAATCTCATCAGCAGTGACAGGCTTGTTAAACAAATACTGCTGGTTTAAGCCGATTTTAATGTAAAGAAACACTCCATATAAATTAAAACTAAGTATCTGGTGGTGATGCTGCTCTGGCATTGGTGCACAAGCACAACTATCAATTACAACGTGACATTAAAAGGGAAAAAATAGATGCAAACAAAGTCTCGGGCAATGATCCTTTTTCATGGTACATGAATCCATATAAAATACTGTAGTAAAAATAACAATCATCATCAAAAGAACTCACAAACATCTCGTGAAAGACCCAACGCAGAAGATCCCTGGGTTTGATATTTCACGAAGCTAATGGTCCATCCTAAATGGCATTCACTGCACAAACCATGGCAGATGCGGATACCTCATGCACAAATGGAAAATGTAAAACTCTCCAGGAGTGTGCGACTGTGGTCATTCAGAACAGACCGTGCAACGTTTAATGACGAAATACCCGATCCACACATACGAAGGAGACATCACAACGATACTCTCCGTGCTACTCCTGACGCGGTTATATGGCTTGACCACCTTGAATGTGAAATTGTAGTTGTTGCTTTGCATCTACCTCAGCCATACGAAAAAAGAAGTCTACATATAGAATACAACGAATTATTTTGTGCTGCTGGTGATGCTGCTGCTGCTGCACTGGCACACGGACAACTAACATTTACACAATGGCATTAAAGGGAAATACATATCTATAAATAAAAACCAGACAATGTTTGTATTTGCATGTTCACCACAAGTATATGCGGTTAATGTAGACATGATTCCTTGAAAAAGGTTTCTGTTTGGTGTTGTTACATATTAACACCTGTTTTATTGCCAGAAAGGGTAAACCCCTATTCTTGCATATGTAACAGGCGACGTTTCGGGCAATGATCCTTCCTCATGGCATATGAATCTACATGAACTAAGAACAATCATCATCATAACAACAACGTGGTGGTGTGGTGGTGGTGCCATTTGAAGAGCTCCATCCATCATTCATCCCTCCCCATTGCCGACCCCGGGCACAGGGAGGGGCCCCGGGGCCCTGATCCGGATAACGAGAAGGGGGGGAGGGGCCCCTCCCACCCCCACCCACTTCCACCCACCCCCACCCACCCCCACCCACCCCCACCCCCGCATTAAATTTCCCAACGCTCATTAGCGGCGCCCGCGGCCTCAAAGCGCGCGCTCCGATTGGTCAAATTGGCGTTACGTCATTCCATCGGACCAATCGGCGCGCGCGTTCGGTAGCCGTTGCCCACCGACACCGCCCCCCTCCCCCGCAAGCCCGTGCGGTGGCCGCAGCTTATCTGGCGTAGCAAATGTGATGGCGAGTTAAATGTTAGAAGGCTCGGCCGCGATAAAAACACCATTAAAAACTGCGCCGCAGCAGCCGCCGCCGTCGCCGCCGCCGCCTAAAGTTTCTCGTCGTCACGGCGTTCATCCTCGTCGGCGGGGATTTAACCGTGTGTGTGTGTGAAGGGGGGAGGAAAAAAAAACCAGTCGCTTCGTTTCGTTCTTCAAGAACCCCCCCCCCCCTCCCCGGAGACCGTGGACCGCGACGTCGCTACCGGTTCGACGTGGGTACGTAGCCCGCGATCGGCGCGCTTCGCCCGGCAGAGCCGCTAGTCGAGCGTCGGGGGTTCGGGCCTAAAACGCCCGATGGCGTGGGCCCTCTTTATCACGGCGCCAGACCTCCCACCCCCCAAAAAACAAAGCCAACACAAAGACGGGACATTTCTTCGGATCGTTTGATCGCCTTTGGTTTGTTTACGCGTCGCATGTGTGAGTATATTCGAGGCGTCGTGGCGATGTTTGATATGTGTATTGGGAAAATGTCCCGTTGTGCGGGGAATGCGATAATGTATTGTGGAGACGATCTTGGTCACGTACAGTAGAGACACGGGGGGAGACGGGATGGTCTTTTGTATTTGAAAATATTACATGGCACGATGCTGCCATGTCAACAAGAATACGTGACCCCCCCCCCTCTCTTCTCTCGTCCATGTCTTCTTGTGCCTTTGTTTGCGATGTGATGTGTTAACAATAATGAAAGGCCCACCCAATTGGTGGCGTTGTTTTGTACATCTCACCTGTTTACAGTGAAAATTTGTACAAATCTGGGCATGTGTTTTTTTTCTTCGTGAACCAGACTGAGACACATTTTGCTGTGCGATATGTCAAACTGACACTTTTTCGCCTTGATAAAATATGAATGCTCGTATGAATAAAAACCTGGCCGCGTGTTGGACCAACGTTATTGTCATATTCATTACTGAGCAGTAGGTTAAGAGTACATGAATGTAATTTGCTTATACGGCTGAACGTGGCCACTATAATAGAGGTCCCTTTTAATTAATAATTGGAGCGATATGACCTGGGAATTGAAACACACGAAGCTGAACATTCTTTAACCAGGACAGGTTTGCAAGTAGGGCACGTGTTGGTCCCGGTGGAGTTATTTGTGAAGCAAGGTTTTACAAATAAAATTGTGTAAAATAACCTGCGCTGCTCGCAAAAAACTGCCTATTTACTGATATGGCATGCGGTGATTGAACAAGCTTGGCCAGTGTCGGCTATTGGTACCGTTTTTCTTTATAAATGTCATTTTTTTCAATCGTGCCGCACACTGGACCGTACGGCCTCCTTCGGTTCAGTCAAACAGGCAGGGGACGTCTTATTGACGGCTGCCCAAATGGCGGTTTTTCTTAAAAGTATACATTTGCTTACTCTTTACTTCACATGCTTATATCGGTTTATCGTACAAATATACACACAACGAAACGATGTATTGATCGGTATATAGTCTATACAGTTAATTTAAAATCTGCGTGAGGCTCAGAATTACTTGGTATGTTGCCCTATGTAAAGTACATCGTTTTGTTTTTGTTATGGGGTGACGTTACAAATCAGGTAGACAGCACAATGACAAGATGTTACGTAAGTGTAGCATGCCAATGATGTGCTTCATCGGAATACTTACCTGACGCGGGGGGAAGTCCCTTAGACATACAAGAAAGAGAAAAAAACTGTAGAAATAATTTTGGCAGGGACTTTTAAAACAAGTTTATTGGTCATAACTGCCATGCTTATCCGTATCTCGTTTTTGACTACATCCGTACCAGTTTTTTTCCCCATGGAATTTTTAGTCGACAATTTGTCCATTTGGCTTTTTCTGGCAGAAAGATATAAATACATGTTAACATTTATTTAGAGCTATAAGCATATACATTGTATATTTAAGCTCTATCAACCTATAGGTTTTGAGCACGGGTGGGTGGGTTATTCGTGCTTTGCAGCCTTTAACTAAATTAAAGTTATCTTGATTTTAAGACTGTCCATCCATTTTATAGCCTATACATATTGAAAGTCAATATTACTACTGTGATTATCAACAGTGTTGTCATTGCTAGAATGTGTTACTCGCCTAAAATCTCAAATGAGGGGTCTGATTGACTTCTATGAAATTAGGAGATGTATCATTTGCTGCAGCAATGTGTGCGATTCCCAAACTTGCCGATTGCTGTACATAATTGAGTTTAAAATGGGTCCATGTGTTAAGTGTTTCCAGTTAGCGAGTAGTGCTGTCATCACTCTGATCATGGGGCCAAGAAAGGCTCATTGGACTTGCTGAAACATGTCTGCGTTTCAGATAACCCCCTGTAAGTGTTAAAATGTGGTTCTTGTCCTGATCATTCTTGGCACCAGTTCAACTCCTGCTTTTATTTAGACCAACTCTGGCTAGATCCCGCCCTTTTCTCGTACCATCCAAACTCTGTTGGACAGTTACGATAGTTATATCCTAGGTTGCTTGTCCAACTTAGCTGTAATGATGAATGCTCTGAGTGGGCCAAAACATGGATGGGTTTAATTCAATGGAAAGGGATATCATGCTGTTGTTGTAATCATATTCTGTCACAAGCTTGATCAGCAAAGTTGCAAGACAATATATGAAGAGCACTGGGGCTTTTCTGACGGTATATTTGCATTTGTTTCTAATTAAATGGTAATATTGAGGAAGTTGAGGATAAAGATTAGCTTGATACTTATACAGTACTTGTTTCTTCATTTCTTTCTTGACAGCTACGTTTTGAATTTACAATCGAGGCAAAAGGGTAGTGCCAAAATAACGTGCCATGCTTTTTGTGTTTAGTTTGTTGTCCTTCCCCCACACCTCTGATTAGCACGGTTGGCTACGTAAGGTTCAAACGAAGTTCAACATTCATACATCATCATATGGAGAACTTGATCCTGGCCTAAGTAGGCATTGTGTTGCAAAGCCATCTTGAACAAAAATAGTGTGCTTAATATCGTACTATGCAACATGCAGAATTTCGTGCATTATTATTTTAAAAGTATAATTTAATAATGGTGCATGAGGAAAAAAAACACCTTAAATGTGTATAACAATATTGTATTATAAAATAACTGATACATTATTCCATTGTATAGATATGCAGGTGTGTTGATGTTGCAAGATGGCCTTGTGAGTCACTTTTAGGGATCATGATTCATCTTAACACCTCTGCAGTAGTCTGCCCAAGTGAGTTGGAGGTTGTTTCATCTCAAGGATCACAGATCACATCCCTGACCCAGTCTTTCGTGCTTAGAAGTGAGTGTAACATTGCAATGGCAGGCTGTCCTTTGGAGGTGACGCCAAGTCATTTCACCCATCCGCTTTTGGACTTTAAAGGTCCCCTGACACTTTGCACAGTGGAACACGGTGTGCTAGTGTGACCAAATTAAGCATCTGCCTTGAGTCGTTATTCTCAGGACTTGCATGCAGCTGTGTATCACTTAATAACACTACCCATTTACGTAAAGATACTTGGTATTAATAAGAGTAATGGCTTCAGGGTTGTTCTTGTCCCACCTCCCCTGACTACCTGCCGCTATCCTCTCCAACGTATGTTGTCCTGAGGCACTTTGCATCGCTAGCTGTTTGTCAAGCATGCCAGGCTGTGTGGTGCCTCACAGAAAGGTCACTGACACGAGTGAGTCCACTCATGGTTCTGTTGTCGTGCAAGGTTTCTGATTGTCCAGTGATATTCTTAGTGCTCACCTGCACCACATGAGTAGAGTTATTGGTGTCTCCTTTGTGAATGAATGTAGCTGTTGGATAGTACCTCTTGACCGTGTTAATACTTACTGGCTCACTTGTGTGCTTACAGATTACTCACTTTTGTCACATGGCAGTGGTGTTGTTCATTGATGTATTTGCTGGGGCAGATTGATTTTAGCCAAGGTAACATGGCTGTCCATTAATAGGTAAGCTTGTCTGACTCTCCTTCAACATGAGAAATTATGTTCATCCATCTAGTACGGATTTGTAACATTGACTTCCCTTTCAAACAAATTTGTCAATGTCAAAAAGGGTACGAGTGTTTTTACCAAGTTATGCCGAATATTAATTCTGAAAGTGTGCCTGTCCACACATGCTGGTTTGAACGTGGCAATTATTAGACCAGATTGTGCATTGCTTCTTGGAATATTCTTGCCAAAATGATGAACAATTTTAGACAATAAGTATTTATATGTAGGAATAGTTTAACCCAAATGTAATGCTTTTACAATTATCCTGTACTTGGTAACAATAAAGTATTTAATGGTACTGCTTTGTAGGCAGAACCATATTAATGATATAATTGCACATTCTTTATTCAACATCATCAGGGCTGTTTAAAAGGTGGTAATTTTGTTTAATTTGATACCTATATCCAGGGAAGTCTAATTAAAGTGCAGATAGCCTGTCCACAAGCAGGGGCCCGTTTTTTTAATGTCATGCATTGAAGCAGAGTAGCTCCATTAAACCATTTATGGCCCCGTTTTACAAGGAGGACCTGTTTTGTTATGACCCTCTGCTTGGTGCGCCAAAACACTCGATTTCTTTTTACCCAGCCTCTCAGAACGTTATCGACACGTTGCACCATTGCTTACACGTGTGTGGTGGCATATCACCTGTTACAATTTGAAGTCGTAGCCTTTCTGTTGTTCTTTCCTGCTGTGTGTTGTTTCGTCTAGCAAAGGAGATGTGAAACATTGCTGGCCCATTGTTAATATAGGCCTGTATGGGGATGAAGCAATATCTACAAAAATACTTGAAAAAATTGAAGCAGTGGAGTGACAATTTGTTTTAACGTTATAATGATGCAATGATAACTGATGTAAAATGTTGAAACATATTTATCAGAATCGGAATCTTTATTTAGACTTTTTCACATGTCCAGAAGAGCCATATATAAACATACCCTATTATGTATGCCTTTACAGCTGTACTAAATCGATGACACATTTTTCAGTATACAGCAATAGTTACATTATCAGCAATGAGAGCACTTAAACTTCTGGGTATTATTTATTGACTAGTTAATTAATACAATCTAATTGTGGAAATAGCTTATGCAAGCACGTGGGAATAAAGCATATCATATTACGCGAATTTAAAAGGGAGATATTTGTTGCTGAGTGCACTACCTAAATAATAATGAATTCCCCAAAAAAAACCTCTTCAATGCTTCCATTGTTTTATGCCGATCCATTCTAATTTAGTAAATAAGTCTTTCCCTCCTTGTGCTGTCCGAGTACAAAGCAACCAATCGCCACCAGCATACCAGAAACAAGAGTACTGTACAGTGTAGGACCACGTGACTGATTGCCGTACGCTAGTAATAAAGAGTGAAGACGCTTCTTACTCAAGTTGGCCAAGCAGACGATATGTCTCCTTAATATATGTTTCCACGTAAAAAATATATATATAAGGTAGTTTTTTCACAAACCCATCAGTCTCACGGCCTTCTAGAAGTGAATAATTTCTGCAGCATTGATTCAATAGAAGCAAACTCAGGACCAGTTTTAACATACCGTCTCCCATCAGGCTTGCTTGACTCGATGCTGGTGAACTACTAGATACTAAAACAAGGGGCGGCGCCCTATTTAAGATATGTGTCCAAGTTCGACCCAAACTGTTTTAATACATAATTCAACAAAATCGTTCGCGTAGTTGTGGAGAATAAAAGAAGACAATGTTTCCTTAATATATGTCCTTTGACATATTTTTTGTATTTTAAACCCCATTGACACCACGGCCAAGTTCGATTGAATCAAAAGGTGCATACATCTATAGCCATCGGTAATGCAGTGTACTGAAGTGCAGCAGCTATTTTATTTTTGTTTGTGGTCGGTTTTTTCTAATCATGTACTTTTATTTTCTCACAGGAGTGCCATACCATCCGTTGGACCCCACAGGCTTACACTACCGGTGTCCATGAATCAACACAGGTAAGCATAAGGGGTCCATGTTTGTCTTTAACCCTTACTTTGCCACCGACGCCACAGGAAGAGAGTGTTTTATTATAGCGAAGTGTGGAAACTGCGGAAACCCAAGATTGTAATCATATCACATTTAACCCAAGCATTGACGTCCGAGTGGGTTGGGTGGTTGTTGAAAATCGTTGTATCCTGCATTTGAACAATTCTATTTTGTTTATTGATTTAGTAATTTATACACTTCATGCTCTGGGTTATGAGAACTGAGTGGTTAATTTGTGCTGTAATTTGGAGATCACGTTCTTAAAAGACGTTTGAACAGCGATGTCATTGTTCCATTCTGACAATACATGTTGGCCCTTGAACCAATGCTCGTGGATAGTTTGTGGTCCTTAAGGTATGCAATTGGATAGGGCCACGTGTCATAATCTCTTCCCAGAAAGATTGAACGTTATTAATTAGTGTTGAATCATTGAGCCCAGCAAGGAAGCTGGGAGTTGTCCACATTTGTGTGTCTGTTTGAGCTGTGTGAGCAGGGAATTGTATACTGGTTTTGGCTTCATTACAGTGCTGGTTTCGTAATTTATGTATCGTAAAAAATCTAATTATTTTGACACATGCCATAGTTGTCAACCACCACCTGGGAAGGACGCTGAATTTTGATGCTCCACACTGCACGAGGTGTAACACTCTGTAACTGACTTAAGCCTCCCAGCATGGTGCAAGAAAGAGGGATTTGGTACCAAAAAAGTATATCTTCCGTGATGCTTTGTCATCATAATTATTTATATTTCTGGGCAGGCAGCTGTTTTTGTAGTTACCAACCTCACATGTAGATAAAGGCCTCGTAAGTGTGACTACAGCCGTAGGCACCGAACGATGCACAATGAGAATATTCCTGAATAATCGGTCTGCCTGATAATTTACGCCGACATTAAATCCCCTGCGGATTGTGATAATTTTGTGAATTTACCATGGCTGCATTTCACGAGATTATGCAATTACTAAATGACTGCATTTTTCTATTCTTCAGTATTTACAAGTGGTGGATGATGTTTAGAAAATTGCAAGGAATTATTCAGTATATGGCTTATTATCTGAAAACGATTTCCTTAATTGTATCATCGCACGACTACTCTCATGCTTAGTTCTGTCCATTACGTTCGAGATGAACAACTGCATTAATTGATAGCGTTGGCATGCACACACTGATAAACGTGCAGCTACACTCCTCACTGTCGTGTATTGTCCTTGTGCTCGTGCTCTGGCAAGACAGTGGTGCAACTTTTATATTTCACTGCAGGGTTCCGTTTTGTGAAATTGGGCAGCCAGAATTGTGCCACACTGTCCCCTTCAGTCACATGAATCTTGGCACACATGACTCACCAAGCACGCAGGAAGCTAGGAGGCACATGACCTCCTGCTTGTTACTTATTGGGTGTACTAAGCAATGGAAGCCACATAAGTGGAATGCAAGCATTTGCCTCACAGGGCCTGATCTCATAACACAGGCAAGTGTTGCGACAGAATTTGTTCTGTTGTGAGGCTTATCACCAAAGGTTGATCTACTGCTTATGTCGACTCTTAAACAAATGTAGATATGCTACTGTGACTAGCCACAGGCAGTACAACATCGTCTCACGAAACAGATTATCGCATAATTAAACGCTAAAATGTGTTATTGTAGACCGAAAGAAAGGCCAAATGTGGAAAAGTGTACATATCTGTTTAAACTTTAACCATAGTTGGGTGGAATGAGGTGTTAATAAAAAAAAATATGATCTATTTGGTGAGACGGGCTGAAATGTAAATATCTACTCTGAATAGAGGGAGCAAAACCTCCTATCACATGGCATAGGAACTAAATTAACACGGGACCATTTGTTGTCAAATCATGTCGTTGCTTTCCTGAAATTCTCGTCATTATCTTTATTTTGATGTAAATAATTTCTCCATCCGTTGGTTGAATCCATAGTGCAATGTTATGAGGGTGCTAAGGGAATTGCAAGATTTTTCTTTATTATTGTGGTTTATAAGAAGGTAGAGGAAAACCCTGTTAGAAAACCAATGCATTTCCACAAACTGGTTATGACTGCCAATAGTTTGTGTGCATGTGCCTTCATATATATGCACATTTGCCTTGAAAATTGTACATCATATTACACATGCGCTATGTGCAGTTTGTGTTACACTGTACTCGTGTCCCCATTGCAAAGGTGATGCATGATCTAAATGGTCTTTAATCTATTTAAAGGAGCCTCTCAAATGAATTTTAGAAACCAACCCAATTCCGAGAATTAAAATTACGTTTCTCAGATTTTAATTACACGTGCTCTTCGGTGACGTATCAACGTGATTTCCTGCTTAAATGAGCATTGAGGCGGTGCTCATTTGTTGTTTACAGCCCTGAGCCATTGGTGGAAATTCCACCATCCTATGGTGGAGACGAGTCTGTCCATAGGACTCCCACCGTTGACTTCCCCACAAACTGGTACTCGTTTTTATTGACCCCGGAGGGATGATGGCCTGAGTCAACCCCCAACCAGGATTTTAACTTGCAACCGTATTGTTGCGAGCAACTCGCAATACTGCTGAGCCGCCTGGCCGGATTGATTAAATATACCTCTTATGTTAAGTGATTTCCAAACTAATTTTTGTTTTACTCCCAAAGAAATGGGTTAAATGCATCAATGTTAATGTGTATAATGGATATGATAGGGTTGCCATCAAGAGGTAACTTATTTACATGTAGACCACTGTGACTTGTCAATTTGCCTGGCCACAAGCGATGATTAATCCACCGGATATACATTTACAAGGAAAACTGGTTGGGTCACTCAGTATTATAATTTGCGGTCTCACGAATTGAATATAATTGTAAACTTACAAATATATCTTGATGTCTGTATTGTTGTTCAGTAAATCAGTGTTGTAAATATGTAAAAAGCTGTAAATACCATGGTTTTATAATGTTATTGCTGTGATACCTTTATGCATTGTACAACAACATACTTAAGTTTAAGCTACCATTGTGATTCATATCCATTGTTAACGCATCGTATCATAAATGCATGTGTTTTATGTAATGTTTGATGAGTATTATGACCATCTTTGTTTAGTTTTGATCTTGAGAATTCACCTGAATTCCAAGAATCAATATACTTTACACCTTTGCTCTCTTCTTAGAAAAAGGTCTTGCACAAGCTGGATGCAGTTTATTACACCCTGCCTTGTCCTTCCAGACAGTTATAAGCTAAGGTACCCTCAATGAGGGCTACCAAAGCAATAAGCAGTGTCATTTAATCTTTTGAGGAATGGAAATTTAGCAGCCCAATCTTAACATGCAAAAATGTATTATTCACGTTGAGGTACAGTGTATTTCAGAGTTATGCACGCACTGAAGCGAAAGCCGTCTTGTTAGTTATTTTGAAGACTTAAAAATATGTCTTCAGACGAAATGCCAGAAGTATATAGAATAGAGATATGAATGTTTCACAGAAGAGCATTCTTCAGCTATCTCCTGGTGTCCTGTATGTGTTTATAAGCAAGCGACTGTTCACATTGTTTTCTTCAAAAATGTAAACTATTTTATATAACATACACATAATCCCTGAATAAATTATAAGTACATGTTAGAATAGAGAGATAGGGGTGGAGCACGGTGGCCCTTTGGTTGTTACACTGGAGCTATAATAAACCTGACCATCTGAGTTTGAGTTCCAGCCACAGATGTCGGTGGACAGTAATATATTAAGCCTTACTGGGCCTCTCTTCGCCAACTTGCACTAACCAATGGAAGGAAGTATGGTCAAACAATTCCCACAATAGTGTGGGGAGGCCGTATTCCAGCAGTGGATTGACACAAGGGCTATCCTGTATATTATAAATTGTTCCAGTTATAATACACGAGAGATTTGTTAAAGTTAATTTCTTATGTGCATGTCACGGCCCTGAACGATTGTGTATCAAATGTATACATATGATGTTTGTACAACAGTGAGTTGCAATCCCATTTCATGGACTAAACTGAGGGGTGAGATGGTCGCGTCAGGCAGGGCATAGTACGCCACAACCTTGAGTACACATCATTAAGCATTCTTGACAGGACATATAATCCAATTTAACCAATAACAATATCTGAACATATTACTCTGGGAGACTTTTTTTTTTATTACAGGTAGCCATAGGCCTGCATTGACCCTGGCCCCATTGCGATATAATTAATTATCACAATTCAGGATTTTTATTTAAATAAAGAATCTGTTCTTTTTTTACATTGTGGTGCATTGTACTTTTTGTAGCAGCAGGTGGCATTGAAATTATTTACACCCAACGTATACGAATTGAAAATAGTCAAGATGCAAATTATTAGCTGGTATCGTGTGTTCATATCAGCATTGGGGAGCTCAAGCAGCTGGGCATGGAGATTGTGACCCCAGCCCTTTGTGCCATGCCAGCCTTAATAACAATTTACCATGTAACAATTCGCCCTCCAGTGATCAGATGAATTGTCACGAATCTGAGTCATGATTTGATTTATGAATTGATTATTTTTCATCTAATTTGCTGTCTGTTTGTATGATTTAATTGCCATATCATTTGCATGTAATTTATTTAAAATATGTTAAAGGATCAATTCTTATAATATGATGCATGTAGCGTGATTAATTATCGCTTCTAATTGAGAAATCGGTGTATTGTCGCAAGCCTATGTAATAGGTACCCTCGAGTAGCACTTATGCTTGGAGTTCATAGAACGAGAGATGGTGGTTATTGGGCTTTTCTTGGCTTGCTTTATAGTCGCGTGCAGCATGTACTAACTTGTTTGTGTTCGCGGGATCCCCACTCCCTCTGCCTGTTTGCAGGATGCCGTCCAATAGTCGGGCGGGAAGCCTTCGAGATCCGGAGGTGGCAGAGCTCTTCTTTAAGGAGGACCCTGAGAAGCTGTTCTGCGACCTCAAGGAGATTGGCCATGGCAGCTTTGGTGCAGTCTACTTTGTGAGTATCTGTGGGAACTAATGAAGGGAGATGGATATGTGGGGGGGGGGGGGACCTGTATGAGATGTTGAGGCATGAGCGATTGCAGGATGTGATGGAAAGTCTCATGGATGGGTACTTTTCTTACCTCATTCTTCATCTTCTCATGAGTAACTTGCACAACAAATCACCTGTTAAGTTTATTTTCTCCACATTAGCAATGTGTGTGTCTTGTAGTATGAAATGTTAGGATTTCTTTCTCACAGCAGATCTGACACTTTAAAGTAACCTGCATGAATACAAACATGATGCAGGTAGTGCCCACATAAGCACTGCATTTTTTTGTTACGAGGGAAGCTACCAGAGCCACATGGTCAGGTTTTAGATTGTTTTGGTGTTTGGGCTGATCTTCACGTAAATTGCAGCGTTATGATGTTGCAACATAATATGAAATAACGGCCATGCATGAATACTATGTGACGGTCATTTTTCTGTTATATATAATCTTTGGTTCTAGATAGTTTGAGTACACTAATTATTAATATTGAACTGCATATCATTGTCAAAACATAGTAATGTGATAGAAAATGTAATTATTGTTATTAGAATTTATTTCGCATGAATGCTCACCAAAAACCCAGTGATGTTTGAGGTGTCTTAGCCAGAAATGTGAGTCATGTTCTGGGATTCGTACAGAGATTTTACGTCCAACAATTTTTCCATTAAAATGTGGTTTTACTTAATACACGACTTGGACACATCTTGCTTTTGCATACGCATTCATACGTATGCATTTCCTGAATGCTTGAAAAACAAAAAAGCCCCCCTGCATGTACACAAACGTGCACATACTTTACAGATGACCCGTAACTTAAGTTGGCTTGAGATCACCTTCAAGCAATCTTGTGGTTATATAATTAAAGCCAGAAATGTGTTTTTATTGTGACTTGCAGGCACGAAACATCCACACCAGTGAGGTTGTGGCTATTAAGAAAATGTCCTACAGTGGAAAACAGTCTAATGAGGTAAGGGAATGTTTTCAGTTTGCTGTATCAGTGTTTTTTTTTGTAATTGGTTTAATAATAAAATTATGCTGGTGTTTCCTAGGGTCAGTAGCAACACACAGCGATTTGAAGTTGCTTTGAATTGTCAAAATAATAAAATATTTCTGTCTGAGCATTGGATGGAAATCTTCACTGATTTTGTTACACGTCCCTCTTGTCGGTTTACTGCATTCTGTTTTTAAATCCTTTATATTAAGTTCGCTTGCTTGCATGCTTGCGTGCTTGCTTGCTTACAACCGTGCAAATCTTTCGGTCGTTTTTTAACCCACTTCCCGTGATCCAATCGAGCTGACATTTTGCACACAGACTCGTTGTGCGAGACAATTAATGTTCGTGAAAATTTTTTTCCAAAATTTTACACTGTTTAGGGAAAACAAATAAAATATTTAATTACCAATTGCTTAATACTGGCAGACAATCATCTGACCCATAGGTGGCAGCCATCTCAAGCCAGAGGACGAGAGGACTCTAGCCGCCACGCATATAAAGGATTTATAGTGAAAAACTTTGTTTTTACGGGTTATACTTATTATTGTGTTCGATGCATTGGTGCTCTTATGAAGAGGAGGCTTCACTATCGCATATCATAATCATACAGTTTACTTAATTCTGATACCATTGCACTGTGTGAAGACCTATTAAAATATTTAAACGAGACTCTAGCTTAAATACAGATGATTGGTAATTAGATGCACTTGACTCTTGTCTTGATCTTAGTCCTCTGCCGTTTAATGCCGCTTTGTCCATAACATCTGCTAATCCACGCGTGGACATGCCATCCCATGACTGACTGTAGAACTTGAGTGAACCTTGCTACGTGTGCTTACAAGCTGTGCCCCATTCCTTTTCTTGTTCCCAGAAATGGCAAGATATCATTAAAGAAGTTAAGTTTTTGACGAAGTTGAAACATCCCAACATCATTGAGTACAAGGGTTGTTACCTCCGTGAGCACACTGCTTGGGTGAGTTCACTCGATAAAAACAAATAAAGATGCATGATTTTCGTTCATTGAACATGTTTTTAAATCATGAAACGGAACCTAATAAATATATTTTAGTAAAAAGCAATATCATCCTAAAATGCAAAGAGTTGATCATTAACATGTTGTACATTCAGGCTGTGGTTGGTGAGCCAGTGGCTGACCTAAGAAGTAGCCTGCTGAACATATATCTGAAATATCAGAATTGTTGCTGGCGAATAATCTTGAGCGGGCAGTGGTGTACTGTGTGGTTCATGTTTTGAGATTGGTAACCGTAGTCTCACTGGTTTAAACGTAATGTTTCTTTTCATGTACAAATTAGCTGCATCTCCTTTATGATATTCTGATGTGCTTCAGTGTATACGATTGTTTGTGGAGTAAATTTGAAACTAGGATGTTCTTCCGTGGGCTCGACAATGAAGTGCATGTTTGGTTCACTGGCCATATCCCAAATTGCGCTCTCTCCACTGTGGCTTGGAATTGAATGAGAGCACTTTTCAGAGCTTACTCGCGATACTAAAATTGCCCAAAAGTAACTTTTTCTTACAGTATAGTGATTTTTCTTAAATCCTAAACGAATTGGAGCCACACTGAGGTATGCAAATGTAAATTCTAATAACATGTACAGTTAAGTGTTCATAATTAAAACTTTAAACAAAGTAAGTGGGCTTCGGCAGGACATGTTCCTGTAATTGATGAATGGCCAATTGGATGTGCAAGTGACGGAATAGTAGCCATAGGAGAGAGCGTTCCTGAATTTGTGCAGTAGTGAGATGATTGCTATGTCACAGGACACTGAGGGGGAAGGCTTTCATCCAGCAGTGAATAGGCAATGGCCTATTATGATGATGTTTCTCATGACTTTTAAGAGGTTATTTTGACTTGTGGTTGTCAAGCAATTTTAATTCATGATTGTTGCATATTAACAAGCTTGTGCTATAATATCTACTCTGTATTTTAGATGATAATGGAGTACTGTCTTGGATCAGCATCTGACCTACTTGAAGGTAAAATTGTGACCATAAACAGTATATCTTTCCAGATAAATGCCAAAGATATACAGGACACAACAAGAGTGAAATACAAAAGGTTGTAGTAGGAGCGGCATTTGAAGCTTCATGAAAAATAAAGTGCGCCAAAGCGCTGCATTATTATATTAGATTGTTTTGGATACCTTCACAATGGAGTCACATTAACAGCAGTTTCAACTTATTAACTGCAAATATTTTATAAACTTTAATGAATCCGTTAGAGCATTAGAGCATTCAAATATTGCTCATTGTTGCTTTAGAAAGTGTGGCATTTGTGTGTTTTCATCTTTTGTGGCCTGGCTGGTCATGATAGTGCCCAGGCTAATGTTGGCTCAAATTGAATCTTATAGCCCAAGAATGATGCAAATGAGGGTTGGGATTCAATATCTTGCCTATGGTAAGGGCATTATTAATGGCCATATGGAGAAAGAGTAGAACTTTTGACCTTGGTCGTTAATGGTGGCTTGGCAAGTCCGGCCTCGTGTCAGCTCATCAAAGGGAGGCGTGAGGCGCTCCTGTCCGCTAGCCTTCGGGGCATCCTTGGGCAGGGTGAACTACCCCATCAGCTTCCCAGGTCAGGGCACGGTGAACCCCCACAGGAGTAGCTCTGGCCAGCTTGTGCTTGTACGAGCCATCTCGCATGGCTCGGCTTGTTCTGTGCCTGTGGACATTGGCTAGCTTTGAGAAAAGTGTTAGGTCAGGTTTTAAGGCAGAATCTGCTGCTGTAATGACAGCAGATGGTAACGCCTGCAACGGTCAAAGTGAAATGCCAAGCAGCAGTCGCCTAACTTGACAGCTTGGGCTTACAGAGAAGGGTTTTGACCTGCGAGGTAAGGGAGGAGCTCCTCACAGAAAACCCACCTCGTGCTCACAGGGAACGGTTTTGACCATTGAGCCAAGGAAAGGAACCTGGCCCAATCCAAGGACGTCAGGCTTGGCCAGCCGGTTTGTAAAATTGTGCTCTTCAAAATTGTGTCATGTAGCCATCTTAATTGCACAAGGCAAAGAAGACTTTAGCCTCGGTCGATCTGGCCTTTAACGGTGCCTGGTGTGATGTTGTTTTTTGATGCTTTGTCATTGAACAGTTTGGGTTTATTTTTTGTGTACAGTGCATAAGAAACCTCTGCAGGAGATTGAAATAGCTGCTATTGCTCATGGAGCTCTCCAGGGTCTGGCTTTCCTACACAACCACACTATGATCCACAGGTAATCTCGTCCCATTTGATTTGCCTTGAACTCACAATACCAATCACCGGCGGCACTTTCATAGCGTTGACGTGATACATATTTTAGGTTAACATTGAATTGCTATAAGAGGTAAGCGAGTGAGCCTCGATTGCATTGGTATGTGGAACTTGCAATAAAATTTGTAACAATGCAGGAAATGTACTATTTGCTACAACTGTTGTAATGAATTGACGTCGCTTAATCATGTGTGATATTCATGCAAAACCTGCACTACAAGCTCGCAGCATCATCCACCACTAACCCATCCATTACATTTTGTGAACATTGTTCTTTGTGGAATGTTTACTAAATACAATTAATGACTAATACAAATTATGCATTCCTTGCACTGCTCATCTCACGATAAACCTTCGTCTAATTAATTAAGGGTAGGCAGTTTTTATTCATTGGGTGTGTGTAGGAATGCATGTGTGCAGGCATGCAGACATGGGTGTGGTATGCGCGTGGTTGTTGTTTTATTTGTGTTTTTAATTGTGTGTGTGCGTGCTTGCATGCGCTCGCATGCGTGTACAGGGATGTTAAGGCGGGAAACATCCTCCTTACAGAACCCGGCCAGGTCAAGTTGGCAGACTTTGGCTCTGCCTCCCTCACTGCACCCGCCAACTCCTTCGTGGGAACGCCTTACTGGTAAACAACGCATAGCTGTAGCCAGTACTCACAAACAACTCCACGATGTATTGGTATCCATGGCTCGTTCAAAATAACACAGCAAGTGTAATTCATGCCTTGTTTCTATTGTAGTTCCAGCCATCTTGAGTGTAACTTAAAATCGAATCACAACAACCTTTGCAGTGTCTGCTTTCACACTGTTTAAAACAGTTATTTACAGTGCTTACATCTTTAATTCTCTCTACATTATTATCTTAAGTCATTTTAGGATTATGAAAAATGTAAAATAATGAAAAACCAAGGTTATATATTTATTAATCATATAACTATTATGATAATTAGCTAGTACTGTCAAATGCAGTGGAAAATCCCAGTACAAAAATGTTTCCTGTAAGGTTGTGAGATTTTGAGATTTTGATTACGCGAGCAAACAGGACGGGCAGGTTGTGATTGTGTCATTACAAGGCAGCATACATTATTGTCATGGCAGCAAAGAGAGCAAGTAGAGGGGGGGGGGGGTGCAACATAGCTCGGCTTATTGAACAACATTTCCAAACTGGCATATTGCATATTGAGTCATAGCTATACAATCAATGTTGCAGTCAAATTCAAAATAGCAGGTCAAGAAGTAGCTGTAATGAAAGGAATATGACCTGCCTTTCTTTGGTTGAGGTGCTTGCTGGCTCGTAAACTGTGCCCAGTCCTATATTTTACGTTTGCCAAGTGTTGGGGGTTACTCACAATATTCCGCTTGAAAGCAAGGAAGTATTTTTTATTCAGTTTTTAGATAGACCATTGAACAGCCATCTGTCTAATTTTAAGTCGTAGTCGAGTAAATACCAATCGGATATCAGGTTCATGTTAGTTTTAGGAGCAAACTAATGATCAATTCAATGGCAGTGTTATTGACATGTGAGTTTGTTACTTGTCAATTTAATTGAAAACCAACTGCAGAAAAATCAAACCAACCACGTTGTTTTTTGCCAAAGTAGTACTCTAAAGCATTTCAGATATTGTTTTAAATGATAGCTGTATATTTTTTGTGACATCAATGCAGCTGGAAAACATTAATTTTCACTTTCAGCAGCGATGTTATCTGGTGTACATACGTTGTGTGTATTTAAAGTTAGCATCTGTTCATCATCTCTAGGACCCTTTTCATCTTTACATCCTTATTTCTTTATAAATTTAAGGTGTTTAATAACATTGTAAATGCAAATAAATTAGTAATGAAAAGAAAAGCAGAGCAACACCAACAAACGTGTTACTTTAATGGACAACATGAAAGCAACACGGTGTGAGAAAATATCATCAGGTGCATGATGGTGTCATATAGCGGTGCACACTTTTATTCAAGCACCTTCAAGGCAAGGGCTGGTGGATCACATAGATTGTGAGACTTTAATATTTTCTGGTTTGCAATGTAGCCAGGAAATGGAAATACAGCGTTTTGAGCCCATCTATGCAACATTGTGTGATGTATGTATGTTGAACTTCTTTAAAAGCATACATAGCCAACCGTGCTAATCTCAGGTGTTGTTCCCTTTTTTCAACGGTTTTACTTAACTTGAAAGCTGTGTCGTGGTCAAATCTTGTAATCAAAAGTTAGTTGACTTTTTGTTGTCCAATCAATTAAAAATGTTGCACACGTACTCAGATCCGGTGGCAATGCATGCCCGTATTAAAATCGGCATCAACTCATCAATGAATTGCCTCCTTTCAAGCAATAAAATAATTTTCATGGACGGCATATTCATTATATATTTTTTATGTAGGTGAAAAACGCCGCTGTCCCTAAACTGTGGAATCAGCTCGCTCAGATGTCGTCCACGTTCCGTTGTCCCATCGAGTTATTTACCTTTTAGTGCACTTTAAAATAAAACCGTTGTTTAAAAAAAACTTTTTAGAAGGAGTTTTTGTGTGTGGTTTTCTCCAAGTACTCTGTTTCGTTGCACATTAAAGACAGTTTTACATGGAACTAACCAAACGTCTCAATTCCGGGACTTTTACGTAAATTGACATGTGTACATTTATACTTGTGTTTATATAATACACATTTTGCAATTCTTAAGAATTGTGTAATACTGTAATAACAACATTGTATGTCAATGATTCATACTTTCCCCGCGACTAGTAACATGAATTGCGTTTATCTATCGTGTATTATGTCACCGTGGAAAAACATTTTTAGAGTTGTAAACACAATCATGGTCAGACCGGTTTATGGTAGAGCTGGCCAAGGAAGAGCTGCTCTGGTGAACTCCCCCCCCCCACCCTCCTATGTGCAGGATGGCTCCAGAGGTGATTCTCGCCATGGATGAAGGCCAGTACGACGGCAAGGTGGATGTGTGGTCTCTGGGCATCACGTGTATAGAGCTGGGTAAGTGCACTCTGCTGCAGCCCGATTGGCTCTATGGCATTGCACCAGTGCTGCCCATTTCATTTTAGTCACTGCCAGCTGTAACAATATCTTTATAAGAATGTCACATAATTGTGTAGTGATTACTTGTTTTTGTCTGGGGCACTCTCCAGTATGTATTGCTAAAGAATGTGTGATTATGCATCTGTTGGAGTAAATTTATATGCATCGCTATGCATGTTTTAAGTTGCTCGGGTAAGGACTAAGAATTGTAAATGTCATACATTTTTAATTCAAAGGCAAAATAAGATGGTACAAAACAAGGCAGACAATATGAATGAAACAGAACCACCGACATGACACAGTACAAAATAAGACGAACTAACCAAAATGAATCTATGCTTAAACTAAACTGAACCCGAATCGTGACGGGTTCATCAAATCTTGGGAAGGTAAAATGTTCCATGCCTAATGATGTCTTTTTTTCTTTCCATGTTCTTAGCCGAGAGGAAGCCCCCACTGTTCAACATGAACGCAATGAGTGCCTTGTATCACATAGCGCAGAATGACTCTCCCACACTGCAGTCGCCCGAGTGGTGAGTACCTCACCACATGGGGGGGGGGGGGGGGGGGGAGTCTTGCTTGACCCTGTACACACACTTTTGTATCGCCGTGCCACTATATGCCACCATGTTCTGCTTTAAGCAGCAGCTACTAATTGCCCCTAGCAAGTGTGCACACCTGTCCCCTCTTTCAACAATTTACTATGCTACCATAATAATTGGACATGACTGGCGTGTAGTCATCAGATGCTTGAGTTAAATTATTTTGTCTGAAACATGACGTTGCCTATGTACATGTCAACTGTTTATATAGGGGTGACACGGTGGCAAGATGTTAACTACCTCACCTGGAATACAGGAGGGCCATGGGATCGATGCCGACCCTGACGCCTGTTTATTTGGAGCTTGCATGTTCTCCCCATGGTCGCGTGGATTTTTCTCCGCGTCCTCCGGTTTTTCCCTCCATGTTTAGAAACATGCGTTTACAGTATTTGGCTGCTATAAATTTCCACATGATGAGCCACTTCGTTGAGCTATCATTTGTGGCCACGTCGCTTCTGCAAAAGAGCTATATAGCTCAGTGGCCCTTATCTGGTAAGTAGTTATCCTAACCATTGAAGTTATCTCTTTATTTAATGATTAATTATTTGCACATTTCACCACCATCAACTGCTATTTATTGTAATTGGAGTATAAAGCAAGTAGCACTGATCTGAACACTACTGTACAAGACATCTGTTATACATTTTTGTTAACGTTTTACTTAAGAATGCTAATAATTGACCTGGTAAAAACGTCAGTCCCAAGGCTTATTTTAGGACCGTCATACGTTTGGAGGTTTTACAGTAACATTCATGAGTGTTTGGCTTCGTGTAAGTTGAAACTATAAAACCCACAACAAGGGGTTGCAAGTTGGCCAGAAAATGGCCAACTTGCAGCATGGCAAACCCTGGTGTCACCCACTTAAGAACTAATCAGACTCAGCCCTGCTTAGTTTCTGAGATGCCACGATCAAGCACATTCACGGTGATTGGTTTTACTCAACATTCAATGAGATGTAATGTTCTTGTTATTACTGATTAATTACTCTATGAGATTAAGAAGACCCTTTTTACAGTCATTATTTCAGTGCCGCATGCTGCCTCTGTCTGCTGTCCTGGCATAAGTAGCCACTGACACCAACCTCTTGACTGTGAAATGTCATGCAGGTCGGACTACTTTAGGAACTTCGTTGACTCCTGTTTGCAGAAGAATGGACAGGATCGACCCACTTCTGCCGGCCTTTTGCGAGTAAGTACTGTACCATGCTTTTTTCTTGCTGTGACTTTGGCACATACTTGTAAGTTGACGCAATTTCGAGCTGGACACATGGGTATTGTAGGGTTGACGAGGTCAGATTGGGCGTCCAGATAAGCCCACACTTTAAATTTGGACAGGTGCAGACGATGATGCTTACTGCGGAGGACTGCCTTTATCACCAGACTGCACGGACACCTTGGAGTATTGAACACTGCAGACAATAACGCTGCAGCCTGGCTTAGCCCAGTACGCCTACACCAGACTAATAAATGTGTCTTGACGTGTGCGCCTGTGCCCCACCCCCCTCCCCCACCCCCTTCTTGTATCCAGCACGCTTTTGTGATGCGAGACCGGCCCGAGTCTGTACTCATCGAGATGATCCAGCGCACCAAGGATGCGGTGCGCGAACTGGACAACCTGCAGTACCGAAAAATGAAGAAGCTGCTCTTCCAGGAGACTCAGAATGGTCCGTCTGCAGAGCCACAAGAGGACGATGAGGTGAGCTTGGCCAGGATAATACCTTTTAAGTCTGGTGCAACACATTCCTCGGCCACCCCTAATGTACGTTGTGCTGTTGATGTATATGTTTAGAATGATGCATTACTATCAAGATGCCTTCGACCAAATCACCTGGAATGCATCCGATTCCAGACGCCACACAGGTTGAGCCTGAATAGTGATTGGATGGGTGGCCACCGCGCATAAAACAGTGTGGTAGGCTTCTGTGTGGTCACGTCAGCAAAGGGCAGTGCAGCAAAATCCATTGTTTGCACTGTCCTATGTGTACTTCGACTTTTATACTCTCAGCCTTTACCATTCTGCACTGACTAGCATGGTTAGTGTAGGTCAGTTAACCCCCATGACCTGCACTGCATGGGGAGGCCCTTATCCAGCAGTGGAGTGGCAATAGGCTGTAGAACCTATTATCGACTTAACAATTATTGAATGTGAAAATGACAATCGTAAAACTATTCTTAAAACCATTATATTTAATCAATTTAAGCTGCCAATGTAGTCTGCTTTAATCTGATGCCTGCCGCATGTGCATCTGCCTACATCCCTTTAACGCTGACAAATGATAAATAAACTTATACGCAATCCAATCATTTTCAATTAAATGTGCCATATACGCGTGAATAAGGATGAGCGACCAATGTTGAATGGATTAATGAAGGTGCGCATGCCCGGGCAGGAGGTGGATCCGTACCTTCACCGTTCGGGCACGGTGAGCAGCGTGAGCAGCACGCAGTCCATCCCCAGCACGTCGGTGAGCGCTGGCAGCCAGGGCAGCAGTGTGGCCAGCATGCCGGAGGCCCCCGACCCCGAGGGCCACCTGCACATGATGTACGATGACTGCACTGTGATGTCCAGCAACTCCGTCATTCACGTGACGCCGGTGAGTGACGGGGCAAGGTGTGTGTGACGGCTTGCGCAGAGGCCACGCGCTCCTGTTCGCTAATAGTATACGTAACATTTACCGTATTCTCTGGATTATAAGACGCTCCGAAAAGTAAGACTTGCCCCAAGGCTTGTGCGTGGTTTCGTTAAAATATATTCAAATATGGTTAAATACACACACGCACTGGGTTTGAAATGCCTACTGAACTTATTCAAATACAGCGTAAAACGGTGCGACTTATAATATGGAGATTATGGTCGTCTGGTAACCATTCACCTTTGTCCCCCCCCTCCCCTTCTCGCGATTTGATGAATTGTAACTATTCAAATTGGGAATCGTTTATTTGTTTTGTTTTTAATGCCTTGTTTGTAATGTCTGCCCTTATTTGTACTGTCTGTTCTGCTTCATTCTGTCATTTGTACAGTATGTCTCAACTTGCCTTGCATCATTTCTGCATTTTTGTTTTGTCTCTCTCCTACCATTAGCCTAAATGAATAATTCGCATAGCATTAGCACGAATCGAAATTAAAAGATTCTTAAATCCAGGAATGTATGCATGTGTCAGGAACTTATTAATGTAAAGCTATGGCTCATTACATGTGTGGGGGGAAAAACTAATGTTATGGAATTGCATACAAACTTGCTTGCTGTACCGCCTTCTGCAGGAATTTCACATCACAATGTCAGACTGATCTACCAACCCCGACTCCCAAAGTGCTGGATTGCATCCATAGCATAAACATATACACTATAGTGTGTGTTTGTGTGTGCGTGTGCTTACGTTTGCAGGAGCAGTACTGCCTGCTGGAGGAGCGACTCCGAAGGGGCTCGGACCCAGACACGTCACGCACCCCTCCGCTACCACCGCACCGCGCTAGCCAACATCACCGCCACCACAACCACAACCACTTCCAGACCATTCGCACAGCCTCTGTGGTGAGTGCAACAACACAACTGCACCACCATCCCTATGCTCGCATGTTTTTCCAGCAGAATTATAGCACTCGTAGGGATTAAGCAGTGCGGGTGTTCTGCATTCATTTGTTGGGTTTGATCCCATGACTTTGCACAGAGGTGGAATTACACTTTCAGGATGTATTGCATAATTTCTCTTGAGGAATGGTAATGTTAACGTAACAGTTTAGTCTCCATTATAAGATACTTTATTTGAGTCGGCAGTTGCTTGAGTAAATTTAGTCGCACGCAGTTTAGTAAGAGTCGCATTCTGAACTAAAGGAACCAAGGAAATTAAGACTAATGTATGACTTGTGACCTTGGACTTGAGTGAAAAAAGTGACTGAAAATGTTTACCATGATAAACTTTTGGGTTTAGGCAATTCTAAACTCTTTTTCACCGTCCTTTATTAGGAGGCCACTGGAGCTATGCACTTTTAAATCTAGATTCAAAACTAATTTCTTTAGAACTGCTTTTTGTTTTTCATTTGTTGTCTTTGCCTCACCTATTAGCACGGTTCACTACGTACGGTGAAAAAAGTTAAACATAAATAAATACATGCATATTTATGAATTTAGACTTGAAAATGTTTTTTGTGAAGTGAAGAATATTGTCTGTAGCATAGGGGACAAATATAATACTGGTAGGAACCTCCTGGTTACACCAGCCCACGGGATTATTGTGTTCGTCCGTCCATCGTGCAGGGAGGGGCTGGGTGTGGAGGGGAGGGGCTGGGTGTGGAGGGGAGGGGCTGGGTGGGGAGGGGAGGGGAGGGACTGAGTGGGGAGGGGCTGGGTGGGGAGGGTGGGAGGGGTTGGGCTGGGTGGGGAGGGGCTGGTCACCCCGTGGTGCCCTTATAAAACTAAACGTTTAACCTACTCACGCCGGCTTGTGCCCGCCCTCGCAGTCGGCCATATTTGCAAAATACACCACGCCGCCGTTGACCCTGGCCATTGACCGAGCAACCCAACGTTCCTACCAGCTCCCTCCGCAGGAATGTGTTCTTTGGTGGGGGACTTAAACTGATATTTTGCAAGCGTTTTTTGTTAGTATAAACGAAGGTTTAAAGAGGCTAATGATATGACACCTTGTGATTTCTGCTCTTCAGGTGACGCGGCAGATGCACGAGCACGAGCAGGAGAGCGAGCTGCGCGAGCAGATGTCGGGCTACAAGCGCATGCGGCGACAGCACCAGAAGCAGCTGATGGCGCTGGAGAACAAACTGAAGGCGGAAATGGATGAGCACCGACTACGCCTTGACAAGGAGCTGGAGACGCACACCAATGGAGCCGCCAGCGACATGGAGAAGCTGCTCAAGAAGCACCAGGCCCTGCTCGACAAGGAGGTAGGCCATGGACGTGCCCGAGCACGGCGTCTCGGCACGACTCGGCCTCCTTCATCGAGGAGACCAGTGCTGTCGTTTAGAAACGTGCGTTCAGAGTATTCGGCTGCTATACATTTCCACATGATAAGCCACGTCGGTGAGCTATCATTTGTGGCCAGGTTGCTTTTGACCTTCTTTCGCACTGTACGTAGCCAGCCGTTTTAATCAAAGGTGTGAAGTGGGCCTTATCTGGTGGTAAAGTGAAAAAAAATGTGTTCTCGACAAATGTAAGCATGAGTCTATTTGAATAATCGGCATGAAAAATAACAGTAGCTGATGGTAGCGATGATGTCACCAAGTTTCGTCCATCACCTTCTAACGGCACACGTGGGAATAGAGGGGGGAGACATTTGTTTTCCAACTGTTTCTGTGTAATCCTGTTTACTTGAGATATCAAACTGATATTCAGAAGCATCATCGATTCCCTAAATAATATCATAGCCCAGCTCTAGTGCTGCATGTGCCCTAAACAGTGTTGTAGTTCATTTGTGTTTAATGTTTGGGGAAAAATAATCACACATTGGTTGTATTAAGCAATACATTGTGGAAGAAAATTGGTTTGTAATCACAGTTTATGGTTGTCTCTTACAAATAATGGCCTTTTTTGCTGGTATTGATTCTTGCAGCATTGACAATACATGTTCCTTAAAATCATATCATATGATTATGGTGCCAATAGAAGTAAGCAAATGGCTTGTGTGAGTGATGGAGTGACACAATTTCGTTACATTTAAATTGATTTCTAGTTGTAATATGTATTATTTCTTGAGAAATGGGCCACGATTTTGTATTTTCCGTGATGAAACATAAGGCTGAATGCGTTTTCTCTGCCACCTGGCCATATTCCAGGTGAAGGCTGCAGGTGCAGAGGAAAAGAAGTTCCAGCAGCACATCTTGTCCCAGCAGAAGAAAGAACTCAACAGCTTCCTGGAGGCACAGAAGAGGGAATACAACATGCGAAAGGAGCAACTCAAGAGGGTAATGACAAAACGGTCACACGATAACGGTATCCATGAATTTAACATAGCTTTGAGTGCACATGCTACCACTTTGTTAGAAAATAAGCACTTGTGCAAAGTAATTATGTCCAACGCAGGCGCTGATATCCTGTTTTTAATGTTGGCCACATAGCTTTAAGTAGTTGTGGCTATCCACCCTTTATCCCTCCACTGGGTCCAGTCATTAATTTGTTTTTACTATTGGGTGGACATAGGTGTTGGAGAATTTATATAACTTATCATAGTCCATTTATTGTAGGACCCTAAATCAAGCTGTCATCCTTTCTCTAATTTGCACACCATTATGTTCTGATGTTTTGTATGGAAATATAGCAAATTCAACTTGTGTACTGTTTAAGTGCTAACAATCCCCAGTTGTAATGTTTGCAAAACTAGTGATATGTCAAACTTAGTGTCACCTTTTTAATACAACCAATCACATTTTTAGACGCTTGAAATTTTTTACGGCAATTACTAAATCTGTAAAAAGAGACTGGTGCAATGGGGACGGCTGACTCGTTCATCCGGGCTAATATATACCCTCTAATTTTCCTGTTTTCTTGCAAGGAGTTGAACGAGAATCAAAGCACGCCCAAGAAAGAGAAGCAGGAGTGGCTGTCCCGGCAGAAGGAGACGATTCAGCACTTCCAGGCGGAGGAGGAGGCGACCATGCTGCGCAGCCAGCGTCACTACCTGGAGCTCGAGTGCCGGCGCTTCAAGCGGCGCATGCTGCTGGAGAGGCACAACCTCGAGCAGGGTCTGCTCCGAGAGGTAATGCTACGTGTTGGCATGCGTGAATCCTGTATACCCATATGGTGTTGATGCAAAACTCCTGTAACGTGTGGCAGACTATTCATCTGGCATTGACTTACAGCAGATATTTGGTTCATCGGGTCTCTCGGCTCGTTCAAATTCCACCTTAATACACACCCGTTCTTAAAGGCCTTTTTACTTAATATTTTTATATACTTTCGGTTAACAATTTGGTGGGATGTTCTAAACACTATCCTGCATGCTTTTATAATTTTTTTCAGGTTTTTTTCTATATTTCTGTTTTTAGCTATGTACAGCACTTCGTGACTTCCTCTTTAAACATTGCTTTTAGAAGTTTGTAATATTATTTGACTAGACTGCATATGTAATTTTCATGCATGTAGCCTCTTACCTTCAACTGATAATGACAATTGACAATGTAGCAACAATCTTGATTTGAAGCTTTCGTGACTGCAGGAATCCATACGCTCTGGTTCTTTCGGTAAAGTCACGTAGGTGTAAAATAAAATAAATAACGACGTTTCGGGCGCAACACAAGCGTCCGTCATCAGGTGGGCTTTCCCACTTTACCGAAAGAACCAGAGAGTAGTGTAGCAACAGCCATGGATATGTCACTGTATTGGTGTTCCCTCACCTAGTGTGTGTGTGTACGCGCTTGTTTCGTTGGTCGCATCCTAACAAAGGAGCTGAACAAGAAGCAGATGCAGAAGGACTCGGAGCATGCGATGCTGCTACGGCACCACGAGGCCACCCAGGATCTGGAGTTCCGTCACCTGAACACGGTGCAGCGCATGCGCAGCGAGCTGATCCGCCTGCAGCACCAGACGGAGCTCGCCAACCAGATGGAGTATAACAAGGGGCGTGAGCGCGAGCTGCGGCGCAAGCACGTCATGGAGATCCGCCAGCAGCCCAAGTGTCTCAGGGTCAGTGTTGAGCATTCAAGATGCTTTCGAAATCTGAAGAGTGTTTATTTACTGGAGGAATGCGATGAGCTTATGAAGCTCTTTTTCACAGATATCCTAATTGACTTTGGCCTGAGTCGGGTTGAAGTGTTGCTGTGGTGGGTCATTCTGGGTGAGGTTACCCACAGTAGTTTAAGCAAGGGATGGTGGTATTTTGGATTTTAAAGGTTTTGATCGATGCGAAGCATTTTTTGTAAACAATATTTAACAACACAAAACGACATCGATTACAAGAAAAAGGTATCGCCAGTTGTTTGAGTCCTCCTTTCGTAAACAAGTCACGTGAAAAACAGCCCATTCATTGATGAGAATAGTAGAGAGTGGGGTGTAATCTCAAGCAAGTATTTTTTAAATATGTATAATTTCACATCTAATAAAAGGCATCATTCATGTTTGCACGAAAATTTGCACAATTTTTTAATATGATTACGCACACAAACACGGATCTATTTTAACCAAATGTATGTTTTAATGTCCTACTTTAATCTGTTAACTTCTTGCTTAACTCCCCTTTTTGTGCCTTCTATGATTCAATGCACAAACGTTGTTTCGTTTGTGCATATCATTATCATCAGAGTTGTTTACTTTTTGTTTACATTTTGACTTCTTGTGTTGAGGTTATTGCAAACATGATGCCTTGTATAAAGGATGTCAGATTTTGTACCAGTTAAAAGGGTAAAAACCTATTACTATATTTTGCCACTGGTAAAGGAGATCTCATAGTGTAAACGTTGTTTCGTTCACTGCACATCATCTCTATAATCCACCACCACGAAACTTTCCTCCACAATGCACATGACATCGACAGCTACCTCAAGCTTGCTTCTCTGCCCCTTTCTCCCTTTCTGCCGTGATTCAGGTAAAAGAAATCCAGATCAAAAAGCAGTTCCAGGACACGTGCAAGGTGCAGACACGGCAGTACAAGGCTCTGCGCAACCATCTGCTGGAGACCACGCCCAAGGGCGATCCATAAAGCCGTGCTCAAGCGCCTCAAGGACGAGCAGACGCGCAAACTCGCCATCTTGGCAGAGCAGTACGAGCACACCATCAACGAGATGATGTCCACACAGGCGGTAAGTGGTCATGGTGGGGCTTCACCCCTGCTTTTATATTTTTCATTCGCGCGCATTTTAAGCCGGTCGTTCCTTCTCGGTGTTGAATCGTCACTCAAATCCGAATGTTGCTACCGCTTGCAGCTCCGCCTGGACGAGGCACAGGAGGGCGAGTGCCAGGCCCTGAAGGTGCAGCTGCAGCAGGAGCTGGAGCTGCTCAACGCCTACCAGAGCAAGATCAAGATGCGCACAGATGCGCAGCATGAGCGGGAGCGCAAAGAGCTGGAGCAGAAGGTGTCCCTGCGCCGCGCGCTGCTTGAGCAGAAGGTGAACGTATGTATTTGTTTGCGCATAGGTCCACGTGCATGCTCACACCTAGGGTTGCCGCGAGTTGGCTATACTACGATATATCGTGCGATTATAATATCCACAATCGCATTTTCCCATGCTGATTTTCCTACATCAATGCTGCCGTCCACAGGTTTTCATCATTTATTAATTTAGCATCTTCCCTGCGGGCACTTAGTGTCATGTCATTTACCCAGCCTTCCAAATTGTTTTTCAAACACATGAATTCAAGTTGTAAATAAAGAGTTCTTACCCATTAAATTATTGCTCGGAAAAGTGCTTATTTTTTCCGCAGAAATTGTCATAATTTAAGTTAATTTAAATTGTCATACAGTAATGTGTGTTTATAAAGGCACAATGATTCAAAGATGTATGGAAGGCTGAAGTTAAGTGAAATGTCTAAAGCACAAACAATATAATACGAATCAGAGAAAGTTATGGGTAAATTTGTGTCGTGATTATGAAATTTTATATCTTACCGTAAACAATGATCTTGCGGCAACTCTACTTATACTAATACCTCACTCGCACAACAGTCTTTCTAGTAGTTTAACACGTAGGCTTTCGCGACCAATATTAATAATAAAGTTTTTGGGTTAGATTGCGTTATTTATAAATGTGTCGTAACCCTCCACCACCCGACATGGCTAATCAGCAAAAAAGTGTCACGTTGACGAAAGATAAATAATTCACTACTTTAACCCACCGGTGTGTTGAAGAGTGAATCCACAACATTTAGAGTTTTTGAGTACGATGTTTCCCTGGTAATTACATCCAGCATCATCGGGCAATTCACCGGAATTAGCCAATTGTATAATTCTGGCTAATTGCCCGATGATGCTGGTTGTACTCCGAAACTGTAAATGTTGTGGATTCACTCTTCAACACACCGGTGGGCTAAAGTAGTGAACTATTTGTCTTTTGTCAACGTGACACTTGTTTGCTAATTGGCCGTGTCGGGTGGTGGAGGGTTACAGCACGTTTGTAAATAACGTGATCTAACCCAAAAACGATTATTATGAGTCTGTCTATTGTGATAAAAATTAGTGTGATATGAAACAGTGGATAAGCATGGAGAGCTCTTAATGGTTTCACAAAAGTTATTGGTGTGATTGTAGACTGCATATTAAACAGATGCACTTTTGTCAGCTTGTGTATCTAATGCCTGATTGATCATGTGTTGCTCTTATCTCTGCTAGTTCTTATACTTGCAGTGGTAGAATTGATTGGAGTTGGAGCACTAAAATGTGTTTTAAAATCACCTAAAGTGACACGGTTCACAACACCAATGTTTACGTTTCCCCATGAACCCTTGTGTGTCCTCTAGATTGAAGAGGAGATGGTAGCTCTTCAGACAGAGCGTTCAGACAAGATCCGCTCCCTCCTGGAGCGCCAGGCTCGCGAGATCGAGCTCTTCGACTCGGAGAGCGTGCGCCTGGGCTTCAGTAACCTGGTGCTCTCCAACTTGCCAGCCGAAGCTTTCAGCCACAGTTACCCGGGAGCCCAGGGGTACTCGGGATCCCAGTCGGGCTATGGGGGGGCTGGTGGCGGCTGGCGGTGGCAGTGGGGGCAGCCGTGCGGGCAATCCTGGCATGAGAAACAGCCCCCAGCCCATGCGGCGCACGGCCTCCGCATCCGGAGGACAGGGCGACCGTGGCATGAGTCGCAGTTCCAGCGCCTCTTCTCATTTCTCCAATGGATCCTACTACAATTAGCACGGGTGGCGCTCCCCCCCCCCCCCCCCCCCCCGGGTTGTGTGCTTGCATTCTGCCCGTGGCTCCCGCTCTGTCCCCTCCTTCCCTCCCTCCACGTCACATCGCCACTGAGCCAGACCCACAGGAGAGGAGGCGGGGCGTGAGCACACGTGTTTGTTACGACTCAAGATGGAAAGTCGGACTTTATGTTTGCACCACAGTCCCATTTTTTATGTTGGCTTTGGTGGTGTTACCGACGACCGACCGTTTAAGCGTGGGATTGTCATTGTATACATTTGGCTAATCTGTCTTCATATTTTTGCATCTCCTGCCTTGTGGAAGTCAGAATTTGCTCAAACCCCCCCAATTTATTGGGATTTTAAAGCCCTTATCGCTTTTAGCAGTCTGCCAATATTTTTTTTGCCCCACAATTCTTTTGTCCTTATACTTTGGATTAGGCCAAAACTAGAGCGTAAAACTGGCCTCGGGTTTTTAGTTTGGCCCAACATATTCTTGATGGATCTATGGTTATGTCTAAGGCTTTTTTGTTATTTTTTTCAATAGCCCAGGGTTTGTAACATAAATGTACTGCATTACAAACACAGTGTTGGGGCAGCTGAATTAGTTTTAAGTTTTTATACAAAGTAATAGAAATATGATTTTTGTTTTGACTTAAGGCGTGCTTGTTAGGCACTGGCTTGCCTGTATATATCTGCTGCCATTCTATTACGTTTACACCTTTTGGGTTTTAAACTGTGAATATGTCACAATGCCCGGATCTGTGATATCACTTGTCTCTCCACCGTGTACATCCCTTGTCAGCTATTGTTTAAATTCAGTGGAATAAGCTTACACATAAATTACATTGTTTGCATGATACACTGAACTATTGTCAGCATTACAGGGTTAGGTTTTGAAAAAAAAAGGTTTGTGCTAAGAAAATACACATAACCCACACAAGGCTGTCGTACACTTGTGCTTGTTCTTCCATACTCGAACAGCATTCCTCACTGAACATTAATGGTAGACATAGCAGAGGCCCTTGCTGGCAGAAAGACAGCTGTGGCCATCGTTTAGAGCCATGCTTTTTCAGTTCAGGCAAAGAAATCGGAGAATTGTGCTTGCATCCAATTGTACGTCGTGTGTACATGTGGAATATTGTGAGAAAATGTGGTTTGTTTTCACCATGCATTTTTTTGCGCACATAGTATCACCTCTTATCAGAAGTGACATTTGCAGTAAATGTAATCATGGTTTATGGTTATAAAATAAGAACAAAAGTTTTATTCAACACGCTTATGCCTAGAGCCTTCGAGCATGAATAGGGTAAACATGCGCTGGGCAGTTTGGTGTATTGTAACCGTGCGTCCAGGTGTTGGGCACAGCTGCCGGCCACAAGCTTAGACGCGGGTGCTCTCAATCATATCACACGTTCACTCCCGCAACGGGAGGGAATGCTTGTAAAGAACTGTGCCAAGCATCCTGAAATACCAGAGCAGTTAATGCATATGCTGCCAAATAGGATCACCTCTTCATGGGCTTTGTTGAGCATTTGCCGTGCCGGTAGCTACTATTGCAAGCTTGCGTGTGTTCATGACTTGTAAACTTGGTCGGTAGGAACCACGCCTGCTCTTTTAACATCGCAACCATCTAGTGGCCTGAATGGTTTCAATGTGGTTTCTTCAGTGGTGTGTCTAACAATGAGTACTGCATTTTAGGGCCTCCATTTGTACTTGCAGCATCGCAAAGCCATTTTACATGAATTGATATTTACAGTTTAGCAGGTGACTGTGTTTCGTGTATATTTGGAGTTAAATTAGATGTTAAAGAGAATAGTGTCTTCCCAGTTCTTTTGTAATGGGCACTCCTTTGCTGGATTGCTTTAGAATTAATGTAATGAGAATATATGTGATGTATGTTAATGTAACTAATTATACTTAGGTTTTGTAAATACATTTAAAGAAGTGACTAAATATTTCTTATTTATATGGCATTTAGCTGTCATAAAAAAATATTTTTGGCGTAGCAGAAGGCTCAAATGAAAACAAAGCACATTGGAGCTCAACTGTCCAAATTACAATCTTGTTTAAATTTAGCTATTTGTGTCAGGTGCTGTTAAACTGGATGCTTTTATTTTATTTTGAGCTGTGCATCTCAACAAGCCTTAGGCTTTAGTTTTTCCTAAGCTGTTGCCTAGCCAGAGGTGGTGTCTCACCAGGCATGTTGGCCAAGTGATCGTTGGTGCTAGGATCGATTGCCTATGCCGATGTGAGGTCCCAGTCAGGGTTTGATGCCAAGTGCGTGTTTGTGCTTATACAGCTTGCCTCATCATAGTTCTGGCCATGCTAGGTTTAAGGCCTGGTAAGAACTCAAGCTTAACCATACTTTGAGACCCAAGCCAGAGTTTGAGATGGCCGACACCATGTTTCACTCTTCCTATGTACATTGCCACGTCATTTTAGATTTGCTTTTTTTCTGTTGAAATGTCACAGTTGGTGTATTCTAAACTCACTTATATTTGAGTATAGTATACAAAGGAATAACGTGTAACCTTTATTAATACCAACGGATAAATATACCGCACTGATTAACATGGTTGGCTACGTTCGGTGCAAAAGAAGTTCTACATACATACAACACCACCAAAACCATGATAAACTTCATTGACATGCCTCGGTACCAAAATAATGGGAGAATTAAGTACTTATATTTACTCACTGTTCATCACTTGGCACCTGTCCAGATGCAGAGCCGCGGGGGGGGGGGGGGGGTATTGAGAGTCAGGATCTAACTAGGATACAGGCTTAGCCAATGAAGGTAGCATTCTGCCAGGGTTTCTTGAGAGATGGCCATTTTTAGTCTGGATTAGTGCCTGATCAAACATTGAGCCCTTAGGCTGCACAGTTTCGTTCTTGCCAGAGCTGATAGTGGTCTGGCTGAGTTTGAGGATTAGCGGGAGTTGGATGCTAATCTGAGTGAAGCCAAACCAGGAGAAATGGTGTACTTGCCAGTGTTTAGCGTTTAAACCATGCTGCTTGCGGTTTGGCTAGCATTGGTGTTTGCCAAAAAATGGATGCAAATGTTACACACCTACTTTAGAAATCCATGTATTTACTGCAGCCAGGGTTGAGGTTAGTTCTTTGGGTGCCACAGTTGAGCCCTAATTTGTTAACTCCCTCTTGTCATTGACCACAATCCAGTTAATACCCTTGCCAATCAAAACAGTAAATGTGTCCATAAGGTGTGCAAATGAGTTGTATTTTGGTTACTTGGAGGCTTCGTACATTGTGCAATTGCGCTGTCGAATTGAAGCAAGTGTAAAAAAAGAATTAAATGCATAAATGTTCTTAACTTTAATGCATGTCTTGTGTTACTTGATATTTTAATTTCCGAGTGTCAACTCATTTAGAAATTCTGAATGTGCAGAGATCTAAGTTAATGTAATATTTAGCCTACTACTTTATCCAGTTGTATTTGTTGTTTCCAGGTGCGTTTATATTTTGGCTGAGCCATGGACTGCACTGCTGGTAGCTAATGATAAAGCATTCTAAAAAGGCACCCACGGCCACCATACTGCACAGCATGCATTTAAAAGCTTTACACAAGCATACGGTACCATGTGTCGCGTTATTCAACTGTCAGGAAATTAAGAAACAAACGTTGAAAAAGGGGTAAAAATCTGCTGTCCATCTGCTTGGATAGGTTACAGTTGAGCAGTACAAGTGGGGTATGTGACACTTGAGTAAAGGTGTGTTGCACACATTAGCAATGTGATCGGTCTTGTTGCCGAGATGTTTATATATCTCTTTGCTGAAAAGGTGTGCATAGATTTGTAATGTCCTGCAGCTTTCAATGAATCCCTGTTCAAAATACAACAATAGGTTCCCCATGAGCAGTATGGAAGGGGAAGACCCTTGATGGCATTAACATCAGGAGCTGGAGCCTTGTTGAGAGCAGTGGTGAGGTTTAGGTCCAGGTAGGAAAGACTTGTCTGCTCTATTTTAACCACGTCAGGTGTGATTAATTCCAGGTACCTACAGAATAGTACTATACGTGTCTTTTCTTAAATTAGCCACATGTCTTGTCGAGTAATCCAGCATGGAGGTCATGTTCTGAACTGGATTGCAGCCATGCCACTGGTTGGTCGTGACTGATGCTTGGCAAGGTAACCTTGATAAACAATTGTTTGATCAAGGTATTCTTGGTAAATAGACTTGTGATGCCTTGATAGTGTAGCATTCATTTCTTAAGGCACGCCACTGTTTAGGCACATGCACAGGCCACACCTGCATGTACTTTTCTATAGAATACATGTAGTAAAAAAACAAGAGGGCAATGATGTAACAACAGGGTCCCCTACCATTGTTATCTCAAGGGGTTACATGAAACATCCTTCAGTTATAAGAGGAAAGCTTTAAACATATATGTGAAATAATGAGCTGAAACTTTATCTCTTTGAGCTTCAGCAAAGTGTACGAGGCCCACCGCCAGCAGCTGGTGTGCAATACTGTCACTCATGAGATATCTCAATTGTTTGAGAATATAAAAACACACATCTTGACATCAGGCTGGTTTCTTTAGTCATTATTTCACTGAATGCACACACAACTACACACATTTGACCGGGCCTGCAATTAATGCAACAGCCTGTGTCGAGTGATCCCTTTGAGGCACCAAAGGGGGGGTGGGGGGGGTGTCCACTGAGCATCGGAGCACAACGGCACCACGTTTAGAACTCTGAAATAACAACACGTAAAATATTGCTTAGGGGCTTCCCATTATTGCTGTTGCACATGGACTCTGTTGAGGCACATAACGAAAAAGTATCAATGTATCCATTTCCGACGGTGCGTGGACTCCTTGGTGACCCTCCCATTACCACCACCACCCCCCTTTTTTCAGTGCAGGCACATGGGGGTGGGCATAGCTCTTGAGGGTCGTGGCACCGTTAACTGCAGCGTGTTCTGCTTTATGTGGGTCCTAAAAAGTTCCTCGTGTGCAGGTGTGAACTACAGCGTCGACGATAATTTTGTGGGAACGTTTATGTCACTAAATTGAGTGCCGCGTGTGCAAAAAGTTATCGGATTTGAAAGCGGCATCCAGTTATGTCACATCACTCACACACGCCTCTAACCTCGCAACCTCAATGACACACTC